CTTCGTAATAATGCACGGATAAATTTGCGAAAAATAAAAATAAAAATAATAATAATAAATGAAAAATAAAGCTATGATGAAAAAAAAAAAATCTATTGTTAATTCAAAGGAACAATGGAAACGCAAGTTATGCGATTTAGTTCTTCGACTTTTTTTTTTTTTTTTTATTGAATGGAAAAATTTTTTTTTTATTTTTCTTTTTTTTTCGCTAATCATTTTTTCTCCCCATTTTTTTCCCCATTCTTGCAAAAAAAAAAAAAATTTTTTTCAAAGGTTTGCCGGAAAATTGTATAAGAGGTAAAAAAAAAAAAAAATAAAATGAAGTAAGAAGAAGAAAAAGAAAAAAGGAAGAGGAAAAAAAAATTTCATTCCACGTGTATCCGGCCGGTTGATTCGTTAAAAAAAAAAAGAAGGAAAGAAGGGGAAGAATACAAAAACGAATTGCTCGTCGATAAAAAAAGAAAAGAAAAAGAAAATTCAAGGAGATAATAATAAGATGAGAGAAGAAAAGAAAAGAAAAGGCTTCCACATCGCGCGGCATTTCTCGAAAGTAAAAAAAAAAAAAAAAAAGAGAGAGAGAGAGAGAGAAAAAAAGAAAGAAAAAATTGCAGCGAACGGTTTTAATGAAAAAAAAGGAGAAGAAGAGGGAAGAAGGGGAGGGAAGAAGAAAAGAAAAGGCTTGAATAATAAAACGCAAGAGGAGTTATATATATGTATAACTAAAAGAATTGGGAAAACGTCTAAGAAAAGGGAAAAGGCGTGGGGGGAGAGGGAGGGAGGAAGAGGGGGGGGAGAGAGGAGGTAAAATGAAAAAGATTAAAAAACGTAAAGATGCTGCCACACTAGCAAAAGATAACTGATAGAGTTTTAAAGATATTTTTATTTTCGAATCAGACATATTGCAATCCTCTTTCGCAAAAAAAAAAAAAAAGTTTTCCTTTTTCATTCCATTTCATTCCTTTTTTTTCCTTTTTTTCTTCTTCTCCATCCCCTCCTCCTTCTTTTTCCAACGACGAGAAAGGCATGCGAAGAAAAACCTTCAATTTTTTCCTTTTTTTTTTTTTTCTCTTCAGACTTGTCTCTTTATCCCCGTTTGTTTTCTTTTCCGCCATAAATTTTACTCTTATTTTTTTTTCTTTTACTCTTTCGCTTCCCTTATTTCATTCCTTTATTACTTTCCCCCGTAATATTTTTTTATGTTGAAGCATAAATTTTGTCGGAGAACGTGTTACAAACAAAAAAAAGAAAAAGAATATGAATGAGAGAGAAAAAGAAAGAAAGAAAGAAAAAATAAAATTTAAGTTATAATGGCGGAGTGTAATTATGCGGTGGGAGCACGAAATTTAAGTTCGCTTCGGTGTACCAACACAAACAAACAAACGAAAACGATCGTAGGTAGTAATAAAATGTTGTTAAAACAAACGGAATACGGTAAAGGTACGACGACTAAAAAAAAAAAATCATTTTTTGTTTGCTTTTTTTATTTAACTCGAGAATGTAATAATAATGACGACGATAAAAATAATGGAAAAGAATATGTAAATACGATTCATTCATTCATTCATTCATTCATTCATACGTTTGTTTCATTGTAGGGGGAAAAAAAAAAAGTTTTTCATTTGCGGCAATATCGATTATTCCGTGCCAGGTGTAATTATCGTATATATGTATATATTTTATGAAATTTACTAATGGTGGCAAAAGGCGTTAAATAGAAAAAATGGCGTCTTTCGGCCTCTGGCAAAATGTCGTCTGCTTTTTTTTTTTTTAAAGAAAACCCCGTTCATTTTTCATCCGCGAATGGAAAATCAAAAGGAGAGGAAATTTTTTCTTTTTTTTTTTTTTAATTCAAACGCGATTTTAAATAGTCTAAAGCTCGAGTATTTCGATACCCGAAACAACAACAACAACAATTCGCGTAGAAGTTTTTTTTTTTTTTTTTTCAAAGATGGAGGACGGAGAGAGAGAGAGAGAAATAGAGAGAGAGTGAGTGAGTGAGTGAGTGAAAAAAAAATATGAGAAGGGATTTTCTTAAGGGAAAAAAATTTTAAAATAAAAGAAAAAAAAAATTTTTTTGTGTTTTGTTCGCTCGTGTTTTTTTTCCCATCAGTTTCATCGGAAATGCATGTTTCTATCTCTTTCTATTTCATTCTCACCGAGAAACCGTGTGATAATTTTGCGCGTGTGAACCTGAAAAAACAATGTGAGGTTTAAATTTATTATTATTACCATGATTAATATCATTATTATTCGCGCATATATATATGTATTTTTTTTTCCTTAACGATTCATTTAATTATTACGTTTAAATAAAGTTCAATGTATTTTAATTGTTTTCTCTCTCTCTCTCTCTCTCTCTCTCTCTCTTAATGAGAAAAAAAAAAAAAGAAAGAGGTAGGTGAGAGAGAGGGGATAAGAGAGAGTGAGAGCAAAAAAAAAAAAAAGAAAAAAGAAATTTTGGTTTCGCTAATAGAATTTTTCCCTTTTTTAGCAGAAAACTCGAATCGATTATATAGGAAAAGATGGGTTTGTTCAGGTATTTTTAATGATGAAAAGGTTTTTTTTTTGGGGGGAGGGAGAGGGGGGAAGTACATCGGAATTAAATTGCGTCATCAATGTCGGAAAGAGAGACCGATGGACATCGGCTTTTAATTAATTTTAATTAAACAGTGAAAGCTAATTAGAGAATTTAATTCGGAAACGAACGAACGGACGAGAGTCGAACGAGAATCGAACTACTTCGTTTTTTTTTTTTTTTACATTTAATTAATTTTTTTTACATAAAAATATATATTTGTGAACGTTTTTTTTTTTTTTTTTTTTTTTTTTTTTTTTAAATTTCAAACGTGTTTGTGAAGAATGGTTAAAATCAGAGTCACTCATACGAAAAGTGGGAAAAAAAAGAGAGAGAGAGAGAGAGGGGGGGGGAGGGAGGAGCGGGTAGCAGGTTTAACATGAATGAATATGTAATACGTCCGACTCCATTTCAAACTCGTTCAATTTTTTTTTTTTTTTTTTTTTTTAAATATATAAAAAAAAATGATTTTTGTTTTTATTTTTTTTTAGAGGCGAGTTTTTTTTTTTTTTTTAATCGAAACGATGGGAAAATATTTCTATGGGGATAATAATAATATTGCCTCAGGTTGATTTTCGAACCTGGATTCGGTTCATTTGTTTCTACCGTATTTCAAGAGAAAGAAAGAAAGAAAGAGAGAGAGAGAGAGAGAATTAATTACGGAGTGAATTTATTTTAAGCCGAGAAGTAAACAAGTTGTCCTTCTATATATATATATATATATATATATATATATTTTCTCTCTCTCTCTCTTTCTCTTTCTCTCTCTTCCAAAAGTTTATTTCTTCTTCTTCTGTTTCTTCACTTCTGTATCAGATTGGTTTCCTTTTTTTTTTTTTCTTTCAGGTTCAGATCAGGTCGGATCCTGTTTCTTCTTGTTAAAATTAATATTTTTAGAAAAAAAAAAAATTTTGAGTTTGTTTTTTAATTTTCAGTCGAAATTTTTTTTTTTGGTTTGTTTTGTTTGTTTTTAATTTGAATTATTTTAACGACAAACCTGTATTTTCTCTCTCTCTCTCTCTCTCTCTCTCGCTACGTTAAAAAAACAGAGGACAAAAAAAAGAAAAGAAGAAATTTTTTTGTTGCCATGTGTTTGGCCCTTCGCGAATTGACGTAAATAAATCGAAATCGATATCGAACGATCGATCGATTGATTTTTTTTTAAACAAAAGGTACGAAAGAATTTTAAAATTTTGTAAATTAAAATTTCCGGTTTGAGAATTCAATCGTGGAAAAAAAAGAAAATCAATAAACGAATAATTTTTAACGTAAATTCGAAAGGTGAAACTTGTTGTTGTTGTTGTTTTTCATTATTAAAACGAATGACCACCGCCGACAACCGCGTTGTTGTTTGTACATTCATGTAAATACATTCATTCATTAAAAAATTGTAACGAGTCTTATTTAGAAATGAATTTTGTCATTTTAGGTAGTATTTTATAATACTACATAAAAACAAATTTTGACTTTTTTAAGATTTTTTTTTTCTTTTTTTCGGTTGTTTGCATTCAAGATTTTTCCGTTTGTTATTAAAGAGAAAGTAGAATTTTGTTTAAAAACGTCGATTTAGGGAAATTCTACGGCGTTAAATCATAATTTATTTTTTTAAATTTGAAAAAAAAAAAAGATTTCGAAACTTTAAAAAAAAAGGGATTTTTAGGAAAACGTGTGAAAAAAAAGTAATTCAACTGCCGGCTAATGTTTGACACTTGTGGCAAACTTAAGTTGTGGTTAACCGTCGTACGTGATCGGGAACGGATGAATCAGGATCGCCAAAACAAAATTTTTCATTTAAAAAAAAAAAAGAAAGAGAAAGAGAGAAATTATAAAAATGTCGGTTGCGTGACGTAGATACATAAATGAAAGGATGGCTGGGGAGAGAATGAGTGAGCAGAAAATATCAAAAAAAAAAATAATAATAAAAAAATTAAATTTGAAGGATGAATCCCTTACCTTAACGAAATCCCAGACTGAAAATCCCCAGGTTATATACAGGTATTTAGAAATGTAACAATAGGAATCAATGAGAAAAGGAAGCGTGCGTGAGTTTTAAACATCGGATCCGGTTTTTTTTTTTTGTTTTGTTTTGTCCGAGTTCGGTCATCTTCGTATAAAATGCGATCCGTCGACGGTCTCGCGTAATCCACGCGACTTACGAACCCGAGTCAGGTAGAAACGACCATTAAAAAAAAAAAAAAAAAAAACGATTCGATATTTTCAAGTGCACCTGCACGAAACGAAAAAGAAAAAAAAAATTCCTACTCACAACCATTATTATTATCATTATTATTATTATTAGAATAATATGTTTTTCCATGCGAGATGTTTTTATTTGATTCCTTTTTTCCATTTTTTTTCCTTTCATTTCTTTTTTTCCTTTTTGCCAGGTATCCAATCCTACGCCACGAAATCTCACGTGAAAGCCATGACGGCAAAAGTTTTCAGTCTTTTGGTAAAAAGTGACAAAGTCGTCATTTTTTCAAAATCCAGTTGCGAAGATTCACAAAAGGCGAAATCGATATTCGATGATTTGAAGCAAAAATACACGGCCGTGGAAGTAGACAGGAGAGAAGACGGGCAATTTTTACAAATGCATTTGGGCGTCGTCACGGGTTGTGCTATCATGCCGAGGATATTCATCGTCGGAAAATGCATCGGCGGCACCTACGATCTCATAGAACTCCAGAAAAACGGACAATTGTTGGTACTTCTAAATCAAGATTTTTAATAAAAAAATTTTCTTTTTGTAAAAAAAAAAAAACCCTCACGATTCGAAATTGATGATTATAATAATAATAATACTCATAAAATACATTTAAAATAAAAAAAACAAAAATTTTTTGTTTTTTGTCTACATGTTGAACGAGGGAAGTATTACATTCTCCAGGCAGGCAGTTGTGTCTTGCTTGGTTGGAAAAGAAGCAGAATTTTCCAGTGCATTTTTTTTTGTAAAATAAAGTCAACGCCCATTCGGTAATATTTTGTAATAAATCCTATGAGAAACTCGAAAATAACATTATTAAGCTAAACATTTAAAACTATATACAATTTGTCACCCCTGGAGAATCATCCGAAGCCGAAAGCAAAGACATTTATAACGCGAATTTGCATAGTATATTACCCAATTAATAAGAGCTTATAATAGTGGAAGGTTTTCGGTTTTATCCGGGATGGATGATGCGGCGAGGAAAGCTTAAAAAGGAAACCGAAGAAAAGAGAAAAGAGGGGTAGGAAAGATGAATAGAAAAGGGGAAAAGGGTAGAGGTTACAGAGAGAGAGAGAAAGAGACGAGAAAAGTTTTTCATCTTTAACAGAATCAAAATAAATTTTCCTTTATTAAATAAGACAAAGCCATCAAGAGTGTGTTGTTTGGCAGCGTCGGATGAAATTTCTCATGAAAATACGTTAAAAGTTCTCGCAAGTTTTTCAAAAACCCCCCAAAAAAAAATCCCACGTTTTTTTTATTTCCGGAATCTCTTCTTCTCATCCCACCCCACTGACTCCCACGTCATTCCTTTTTTGTTTTTTTTTTTTCTTATAACGAAGTATTTTCCGAAATTGGGGCCGTTGTTAATTTTTTTTTTTTTTAAGTAGAATTTTTCCAGGAAGTTGTTGTTGTCATTTGAAATATGCGTTTACAAACGTTCTGGAATTTTCCGAACAAAATCTGACAACGGTGGCTCACATCAATCGTCTAACGACGAAGGTTTCCATTTCGGGTTTTAAATTTTTTGGAAAAATAAACGTCACGGGAGGAAAATGAATATTTATTTTTGTATTTTTTTTTTAATTTAAAGGGAGACGTCACACGTGTTTGCACTCGCACGCGCACACGTGTACACGCGTTTTAATTTACGTTCGAGAATACTCGAAAAGTGGTGGTAGGCAGGCACACACTTGAAAAAGGATTCATCGTGCGAATCCACGCGCGTTTGAAAAAAAAATACTACAAAGGAACGAAGGAGAAAGAGGGGAGAAGGGGAGAGGGGCAGGGGGCAGGGGAAAGGTTCGATAAAATTTTAATAACGAGAATCAATGTCGTGCGAGTGATTCATATTTTCCAGAATAATTTTCCAGAAAAAAATTTTTTTTTTTTTTCGTTTTTCAAATTTCCAATTTAAATTCCTTTTTTTTTTTTTTTTTTGGAAAAAAAGCGAAAAAAATGATAACGTCGTTTTTTTTTATTTATTTATCGAAAAAACAACTGGAGAAAATTAAAAATAAAAAAAAAAACTGAAAAAGGGAGAAATGAAAAGTGTAAAAGTTCAAAGTTGTTTTGCAGGAGAGGGGTTGGAAAAAATAAAAGATTTTGTTTTATGGAAAAAAGGTAAAGTTAAAATGTTGAAACCGACGGCGATGGTGATGATGATGATGATGATGATGATGAGAATGGAAAAGTATGGAAAAAAAAGAAAATGACGTAGGATTTTGGAACTGGATAAATTTTTTTTTTTTTCTAACCGAAATCGGACTCAATTATATAAATATATATAAATGTTTTTTTTTTCTTGGCTCTGATAGTGTGTACGGGTTTAACCTTTTACGGTAAATTTTTATTTCGTGAAAGTTACGAGTTGAATTTTTATTTTTTGTTTAAAGGAGGAAAAAAAGCGAAATTTTGGGGAAAAAAAATGGCTTCCGAACCTTCCGCTCCCTCCCCCCTCGTTCCTTCGCCCAGTAAAAAAAAAGAAAATTTTTTTATAAAAGATCGATACGAAATATTTTTTTCTTTTTTTGGAAGAAGAAAATTAACGAAGCGGCATGACACTCCAAAATTTCTATTTTTCTAAAAATATTTTCATCAATAAAAAAAACGCGGGGGTGGCGGGGAAAGGTTAAAATTTTAGGGAGCCGAAGGGTGTGTCGAAGAGAGAAAAAAAATTTTTTTTTTTTTGTTTGTTTGTAAAACTCATCAATCAATTAACCTGGAGTCACAATCAGCGACGAACGGAAACAATAAAATTAAATTTTTTTTTTTGCGAGACTTCGAAGAGAGAGAGAGAAAAATAAATATAAGAAGAAAAAGAATAAGAAGAGAGAGATAGAGAGACGGATGATATGATGGAAAGACAAAAATGTAAACTCTGGAATTCTGGAATCAAATTTTTTTTTTATTGTCACTCACTTTTGGAAAACCGATTCATCACCGTCATCAGTTCTCCAGAGTATATTAAAGATCAAAAAAAAAAAAATTTTTTTCTTTTTCGTCACGCCCAACTGATTCTTTACTCGAGTTTAAAGAAAGTTTTCTTTTTTTTTGTCGCCGCGAAAAGCGTGCGGCACAAAAGAGAGAGAGAGAGAGAGAGAGAAAAGGAAACGTTGCGTAAACAGAGGAAAATTTTGGAAAATGAAAATGTAAAATAAAAATGTGAAAATAAGAAAGAGATGTGAATAATGTGTGCCGTAAAATGATGATGATGAAAAGGAATAAAGGAAAAAAAAGAACAAAGGAATAAATAAGAAACAAAGGAAAAAGAAAAATTTTTTTTTGTTTCCCGGGTTTGAAAACTTGTTTGTTGTCGAAAGGTTCTTATTTACATAAATAAATTTGAAATTTCGACGGATGACGAAAGTGACGAAAAAAATGAGAAAAGAAAATAAAAGAAAAAGAGAAAAACCGAAAAAAAAAAAACAGTGTCAGAAACTAAATTAGTAAAACAAATTAAATTTATTTTTTTCGAAAAACAAAAACAGAAAAAAAAAAAAAACAAAAAGAAAAAAAAAGAAAAAAAAAAGAGGAAGATGGAAATAAGACGACGGCGACGACGACGACGAAGAAAGAAAATGAAAAAAAATTTATTTTAATTTTTTTCCTTTGGAGAAATTTCCAGAATAATTTTTTTCCCCGAGTTAATTTGGAATATATTAAAATGGAGAGAGAGAGAAAAAAAGAGTCACGTGATTTTTTTTTTCTTGTCATTTTTTTAAAATCGAGAGTGTGTGTCGACGACGATGACGACGGTTAATGAACCGAAATAAACAAAATGGTGATTAATTTTTTTTTTTTTTTACGAATCATTTATCTGGAAAAATTACCCCGCTGGAAGAGGAAGGAAGTGCAAAAAAAAAAAAAAATCAATGAGTGAAATTTAGCCGTTCGTCAAACGGAAAAGAGGAGGAGCCGGTGGAGAAGTTTTGATGATGATGAAATGTTTAATCCCCTCACGTGATTTTCATTTTTCCTGTTCGTTCCTGGCCCCCCTCAAAAAAAAAAACGGGAACGTTATTAATGCTCCATTTGATAAAAAAATAATTTTCGTTTTTTGTTTCGCGTTTACGTTCGCAAAAATCGTCATTCTGCCCATCGTCGTTCTTCCCTTTTTTTTTCTTCCTCCCTATCGTCTCATTCCTGGAAAATTTTAAAGGTTAAATATTAGACGAAACGCGTGAGAAAGAGTAGTAGAATATTACCGGGTAAATGAAAAAAATGAAGGAGTGGGTTGAGAAAAGGTTGAAAAAAATTGAGAAAAAAGGTAGCGAGTGAGAGTGAAAGAGGGAGAGAGAAATAGAGAAAGATAGAGAGTGATGATGAGTTGACTTTGGAATTGGGTTTTAGAGAGAGAGAGGGAGAGAAAGAGAGAAATTTCGTTAAAGCCTTTAATTTAATTGCGTTTGATAGAATATCTTGACTGTGATGGAGAAGGTGAAAAACGAAATGAGATTGAGAACAGGTATTAAATTTAATTTTATCGTGGTGGTTTTTTTTTTTTTTTTAATGAATTGAAAAGTTTTTATCATAGTTTAATCCCACGCGAACGTGGCGGCGTTCGTTCGTTCGTTCGTTCCTTCTCTTGTTCATTCACGAAAGTTATAGATTTTTTTTTCGTGCGTTCGTTTTGTTTTTGTCTGAATGTAACGGGCTCGATATATTATTTTTCGTTTTTTTTAATATTATTATTATTATCACCGAACGGTGACGAACGGTGAAAAACAAATTTTTTTTTCATTATGTCCGTCGTTTATTATTATTATTACTATTTTCGTTTTTTTTTCTCTCCAGCGAACGTCCGCTTTCGTTTATTTTCGATTATTGCATCATCGAAGTTAATAAAATTGCTCATTAAATTTTTTCCATCTTTCGTCGTTTGTTTCGTGTTTGTTTGTTTGTTTTATAATTTAACAACCATCAAAATGCACTCGTCGTCGTCGTCATCGTCGTCATCGTCGTCATCGTCGTCGTTCTTTTTTTTTTTTTTTTGTTTGTTTTATTTTAATTAAAAGTTATAGAAAGTAGAGAAAAAAAAAAACTTTTTTGTTGAAACTTTAGTAAAAAAAAAAAGTTTAATGTTTAAGTGATGATGATGATGATGATGATGATGGCGATTACGCGACAGGTGAAAAAAATGAAGAGAAATTGAAAAGAATTGATACGCGGCGTACACACACAAAAAAAAAAGAAAAAAAAATGAACGAAATTAAGAAAAGGGAGGAAAAGGATTCGCAATTCGGGAGTGTAAAAACCGGAAATAAAAAAGGAAGAAGCGTGAAAAAAAATAATTTTTTTTCTTTTTTTTTGGGGGAGGTGGGAGTAAGGAGGGAGGGAGGGAGGAAGGGGAGAGATCTAGTCTTGATTAATAACGGGCAAAATGTCTTCACATTTATTACAACATCTGAATAAAATAAATGTTTGACTTATTTAAAGAGCATCTGGTTTAAGAAAAGATCACGATTCGACCTTTCGATATAAATCGAAAATACTTTCTAGAACGTTCCAAATTGATCATTTCGCTTACGCGTGTTAATACAAAAAGAAAAGCCTTGACGATTTAAAAAAAAAAAAAAAAAATTTTTTTTATGTGCAAAATCACGTTTTTTTTTTTTTTTCCTTTCTTGTGCGCGCAATAAAAGAAAAGAAACGGAAATGAAAATGAACGGAAATTGATATTACTCAGTTAGAAAAGGTCGAAAAGGTCTTCTTTTTTTTGTGATGGGGGAGGGAAGAAAGAAGGGGAAATTT